TTTTTGGGAGGGAAAAAAAAAAAAGGGAGGCCCCCCCCCCCCCCCCCCCCCCACGCCTTCACCTCCTGTTGTGCCTCCGCGGAGCAGAACATCTACGTCTGCTCGTCGCACGGGCTGTTCAACGCCAACGCCGTGGCCATCCTGGAAGAGTCCCCCGTCGACACGGTGTTCGTGACCAACTCGGTCCCTCTGCCCGAGGGCTGCAAGTCCAAGAAAATCGAGCAGGTCTGCGTGCGTGCGATCGATGCTGTTTGTCGTGCCTACTTCGTAAGGGGAGCAAGCCAGCACGTGGAGGCATGTGCTGGTTGTAAGACTGTCAATTATTTGTTCATTTCGGTTCGTTGGGGTTCGCTGTGCTGTTCGAGTCAACAACACGTCAGTTGTGTGAGCTGTTGATCTTGGGAAACTTCACCCCGCAGGTGGCAGCCAGCTGTGGCTTTGTCGTGCGTCCTGCTCTATTTTCACCTATTTAGCATCACCCCTTTGATGGCACTGTATGTGATCCCATGAGCCCACTCCGGGGGGGATCGCTTGTCTATAACCCATACCGTATACAGAGTACAGATACCGGGGCCGCCTGCCACGGTGCTCCCCCGCGTGTTGGTGTTGTCGCTGCGGCGAGAGGAAATCGATCACACGGCCCGCCTTGCGGTTGTTTCCGCGCAAAATCTCATTCTTTTCTTTTCTTTTCTTTTTTTTTATGCCACCTGCCAGTTGCACATCGGGCGGTACCTGGCTCGGATGATCTTCGCCGAGCACGTGCGGTCCGCAGACCTGTTCAAGGAGGACGACATCGTGTTCGAATAACCAAATCGGGGGAGTTTTGTTTTTTTTGTGAGACTCGGATCTGATAAATAGGCTTCGAAAGCACAGCGGCAGTAACGGGTTAGTCGACCCCTGAGATTGCGACGGGAGCGGAGACCACACCGGATCGGCGGCTCGAAGCAGTGAGGATTCTTCGACTGGATCGATTGACCGGTTTGGATCAAGGGGAGAATGAGACAGAAGGGTGCAACGCCAACGAGAATGGAATACGAGAACCAGAACAAAGTCGGGGAGCGGGGAATCGAGGGGAGAATGGGGCAACGCCAACGGGAACGGAATGCGAGAACGAGAGCGAATGTCGAGAACGAATTTCGAGAACCAGAACGGAGAGCGGGGTATTGCGGGACAACGCAGGGAAGAGATCAGACACAAGAGCGGCTTTGAAGGGGGAGAAGGGTGGACGACGCACCAAGTTGGGGCCGTCGAAATCGCCAAATATGTGACATGGGCAACGAATAACACGATATGTCAAATAACACGGAACGTTTTTGCTGCGTGTATCCGTGCGATCTTGTCTACGAGTAGTGCGTTTTATTGCAGTAGTGTTTTGTGTCCGGTGTACAGGCGGAGGAGGGGGGCGGGAGCTGAAGAACACAACTGAAAGGGAGAACAATCATTTTTTTTACTTGGATCAACCGAGAAACCAGGGTAATCTCTGCAGAAGGGAAGCTGTGGGGCAG